CGACCGGGAGTGTTTGTTAGGATGAAATACATGTCCGTCTTTTCGGAGAGGGCATCGGTAGACGAACCGCAGATCCACGTATACGGATCATCAATTTATGCTTTGTACGGCTTCAGTTCACGGACATCGTTCCAGGGGAACCCCGAATGTCGGCACATCTGAACTGGTAGTCAGTCTTGGTGTTTAAGGGAAAGAAAGGGAGAGGTATGAGATGCTGTTTTGCTGCCTATAATATTAGATGTGTAGCAGTGGACGGAGGTGTGAGAGGCAACAGTTGCTAGTAGACACTACACCGCGCACTTTTCGTGCAAATCCCTGATCGTCGTTCAGTTCAACAACCAACGAAAATCATGTTGGAGGTCTATCTCTGACGCCGTCTCCTTCCATGTCGCGCCCCGACGAAGTTCGGATCCCGGCGAACTTCGCGTTTTGGGTTGTGCGTTGATTTGTCTTTGGTACTGCTGGCGTCGGGCGGACGGCAAGAACCGTCGGGCACCACGAGCACGGTTTTGCTTGAGGCCGCGGCCTTCGAAAAGGTTATGCGACCAATTCCTCCTGCCGACGTTCGCGATCTACGACCGCCGCCAACCGAACTTCAAAAACACTATCCGTGTTCGGTTGTCGCCCAACCACCATCGACATGTGCCAAACAGTCGATCATTGTCGTTGCGAAATGCCAAAACCACTCTTAGGGATCCCAGTCGCGAAATGCCAAAAGCACTCTTAGGGATCCCAGGTGCGAATGAGCGCAGGGTCGCGCGAGCTTCGCGTTTCCTGAAACCCGTTAGAGATCCCGGTTTACGGACCCTCTAGTTGCATCTGGATCTGTTTAGAGCATAGACAGACTCAATAACTACTGCCATCAAAACCTACGGTCAGCTCTGACACCCCGAGTTCTCCCTCCAACACCTTGCTCGGACCCCTACTTTAACCTCATACGTGATCCAGTATTTCTCTCTGTGTATCTTTCTCGCAGCGTCCTGAAGTTCGGATCCCGGCGAACTTCCTGTGACGCCTGTCTATTGGACAGACACTGGTCTTCCTGATCCCCTGTGGATTGCGACAACAGCTCCTGTCCTCCCTGCTCCACACGTTTCGTTCTGCCCTATTAGGGACCCATACAATGTTGTCACGGCTGCTGCGCATATCAGAAGAAGTTCGGATTTCGGCGATCTTATCCTTCTCAACCGGCCTCTCATGTCTGTGTGGCATTCCCAGGTCGTGGTTGAGTCTATGGACCGTGTGTCTCTGACGCCGTCTCTGCCTGTCACATCGTCCTGAAGTTCGGATCCCGACGAACTTCATCTTTCGGGATGTGCGTTGGTTTGTCGTCGGACATGCCCGTCCGGTGGTTCGCACAACCCGCCCGGCGACGGGGAGAGTCAGTCTCTGACTTCTGGTTTTGATCAAATGCAGTTGCGGAGTATGTTCGCTCGAGCACGGTTCTGGAACGCTGGCTACATGGGCTGGCTGTTTCTCTCTTTCTGTCGCACCATCTTTTAGTCGGGACCCAGGCGGACTTCGCGTGCTAGCCTGTCCGGGTTCCGAGTGCTAAGTGGAGGACACTGCCTGGTCCAACGCGAGCTTCGAACATAACCTCCCGTTTATTACCCATGTAGTCGGCATCTGTGTTTCAGATATACCGATGTGGTTGTTGCCGGACCGCATGACGTGTGTCCCTTTTTAAAGATTGATCTCGTTGCAGGTAAGAGGTCATTAAAGGTCTTCGCGTCCAAAGTTCGCCGGGATCCGAACTTCGAGGTCCTGGAACGGCGTCATGTGATCGACGTGTTGGGCGCAATGTTTGTCGCCCGCGTTTTTTGCCTGCGTTGTATTTTGTCTGTGACTTGACGCTCTCTGGTGGTTCATTTCTTTTCCGTTGTCGTCTGCAGATAAGATGTCTTCGTCGAGGGGCGAGGGGGAGCCTGCAGCGACATCCGGGATGGGATCAGGGAAAGATTCCACAAAACGTTCGTCTACGACCTCGAGGTCGTGGTCGGACCACGCAAGGTCAAAATGGTTCGTCGACTGGTCTGCATACACGTCTGATGCCGAACTTCACCGAATGAGACGAATGTTAAAAAGGTTTCACGAGTTACTACAACAGTGTAATAACTACGTGAAGGACTTCATGACCATCGCTGACCTTCCACCGGGAGCGTTGAATGGAAGGAAGTTGGTCATAAATCCGGATGCCATGCCCGAGGAGGAACATCGGACGCGTTACAACCGTCTGACGAGCCTACAGGAGGTCTGCGTTCTCATGGCAGATGACCTTCTTCCTCGTGAGCTTGAGATTCATTTGCGTGCTCCTCTTCCGGGTGAGCGGGCAACAATTGTCATTCCGGAGTGTTCCCTAGTGCACGATTATTTGAGGTTTGTTTCGCTTTTCCCAGAAGGAATTGATGGTTGGTCTGTCCGCCGTGCCTCGGAAGTTGGATGGCCGCCAGGGCTCAATGCAAAGGAGTACTATGCGTTTCACCTGCACGAACGCGATGCTGAAAGGTCTTGCCTTCTTTATGAGGCACGCCTTTTCCACAAGTTTTGTTGCATGGCTTACGCTAAGGTTGAATCCCTTCGCTTGAAATGGGTAAGATTCCATCAGAAAGACTTGCGGTCAGAATATTATCAGGACCTTCAAAACCTGTCTCTTATACACATCTAGATGTGTATAAGAGACAGCCCTGAACCCCTCCAACCCCCCCTCTCCCCCCCCCCCCCCCCCCGACCAATGGACTGGAAAATACAAGCTGCTTCCCCTCGCTGCCTGAGACCCCCTCGAGCGGGGTCCGCGAACCCGACGACACGAACGCGAGTGGCCAGGAACAAGGGCTCTATTTTTTAATGACGCCCAGGAAGGGCTAGCCCACAGGGACTTTTTTGTCATGTTGCGCTCACCAGGTCCCCGTCGGGGAAATTTCGACGCGCAGCCACCGTTCGATTCGGGGATCGAACAGTCGTGCGGTGGCGTACGGACCTTGCGCGAAATTCCGAAACAAAAGGCCCGACGGGGGCCTCGAGTCCCGCGCACCTACAAGTATGAGCGGCGCCCTGGGCATTAACGATGCGTTCTGCATTTTTGCTGGGGAGATGTTGCCCGACGGAAGCCTCGCACCGCCACTATCGTCAACAACACCACCCCGCACAGCTGGAGCGCCATAGCTGGCAAAGAGAAGGGACAACCATTCCTCACCGCGCTCGTTTCCTGGCACTGACGCACCCCACGATTGCGGGGTGCAATCGGGGTTGGGTCTGGGATGATTGACATGTTTTGCACTTCCACTCTGCGTCTGCTGCAATCGGGGTTGAGAGGTGCAAAATATCCAATGATTGCACAGGTTTTAGCGCAGAACTGTATTCCGGTGTGCTCCTGTGGTGCTCAACAAGCGAATCACGAAAGGTTGTATCGAACACGCGGTGGCCAATCACGAAACACAATCACATTTTGAGCACTGACCACACTCGATATGATCCTTTGTGCTGTCCCAATGTCATATCCGCCGATCCGCCCAATGGATGATCGATCAAAACACGCGGTGGCAATGTCGACACAGCGAACACATCCGTCGACCAATCGCGAAACACGATCAGATCAATCGTGATTGGTCGATTCATCTTGTCTGGCGTGCCGACGTTATCACCGCGTGTGTGTTTTTCTTTTTGTGTGTGCGTGAGAGTGTGTGAGCTTCTGCTGCATTCAACCAACCAACAGAGAAAGCTCCGGTCGAACACGTGGTGACAATGTCTAGAACATACACGCGATGAACCGACCCATCACGAAACATAAGCCGACCACTCGCGATCGGGTGATTGATGTTGTTTGTTGTCACAACAATATCGCCCCTGATCCGCCAAACGGATGATTAATCGGTGCACGAGGAGACAACTTCGGGATCGCAAACGCATCCATCCGACCAATCGCAAAACGCTAACAGATTACTCGCGATCGGTCAATTGATCGTGTGTGTTGTCCCGACGTTATCACTGTGTGTGTGTTTCGCTTGTCTCAATGGCAACATCAAAACACACGCGGCGATGTGCGTCTTTGTGTGTGTGTGCGTGTGCGTGCGAGTGCTGTTTGAGCATCGTGACCTGTTATGTGGTCCTGCAGGCGATGTGCGTGTGCTTGCGTCTGTGCGTATGCGTGTGCGCGTGCATGATCAACCCGTCGGCGAGCGAGCAGTCGATTGGTCAGGAGATCTGCCATGATCAACTGTTTGATCGGGTGCTTTGTTGGCGGTTGCTCGACTGGTTGATCAACCAGCACACCAACCGCCAACCGAGCACCCAATCAAATAGTTGATCCTGGCAGATCTCCTGACCAATCGAGTGTTCTGTCGAAGACTATCAACAAGTTCGATAGACCGGTCGCTCGCCGACCAGATTATCAATCTCCAGACGTTGGAAGCAGCGACAACAAGCGACCGATCTGCGAGAAATCCTTTCTTCGCAGAGAATCCACACGGCAATTGATCATGTGCCCGTGAACGGATCGCAGAAG